GAATCGAATGATGTATGTTTCATCGAATCCTCTCTAAAATAATTAAACAAAAAAATGTTTCATATGATTTTTCAGCTATTCCGATTTTGTGAAATTTTATCAGGTCAAAAAATGTTACTTGATGAATGGATAGATGAAAATGTATTGTATTACTTGAAAACAAATCTTATCATGGAATAAAAAAAAATATTATTCCAGAAAGTCGTTGAGCGAACCGTGTGACACGCAATTGATTATGGTGTATTAAATTCCATTTGAAGAATTTGCTTGGATCAGTTAAAACACCAACCTTTTTTAAGCTCTGTTAAGCCAAAAACGTGGTTTCTCAAACTGCATTGTATTGGCACACTGATTCACAAAGATCACAGCAAAAGTGGATGGATTTATTTGTTTAACGGCATATCAACTCCTTATTAGTCATTTAATGCCGAAATTTAATTTACTTAGGAGATTCGAAGTAAAAAATATATGACGTTATTCTGCTTTCACAATTGAATACATGGTAGATGATGCTCAACTTTGGGGATATACATGTTTATGTGCGCATAATTATTATAGGTAGCGATATGTGTGTTTTATGTTGAAGTTATATTTTGGAATACAGTTTGAAATTGTAGAATGCTAATCTTATTTTTTTTTTTTTTTATTTATTTATTTTTTGCAAAACGCGTCAGCGTGTTAAAATCCTCACAGCATTTAGTATGGTTGAAATTATCGCTAACATTTTTTTTACAAACTCTACGTTTCGTTCAATTTCGCAAACCAATCGATGAAATTTGAATAAGCTTGTTTGGAAAAATACTTTGACAAAAACCCAAATTCGCAGCTTAATAATTTCTTTAATTTAAATTAAATTAATTTAATAGGAATTCACGGTAAACGATATTTTTAAAGAAAATTTCTTTTTTTCCCTTTTTAACAGCGAAGAAAAATTCTTAGGATTTCTTCCTTTTGTAACAAAATTGCAACTTTTTGAAGCGTTTGTCCTTGTTAATTATATTGCCAAAACTGCAATCAATGAAGTCAAATGAAAGTGGCTTAGAAAATGCCTTATGATTGACAATCTCGCTTTGTTGGAAGGTATGTATGGTGTGGGATGTTCTGACTGATGTTCGGGGCTGTGGTTAAGTCATTTGATATAGATAGATAGATAGATAGATAGATAGATAGATATGAACGGACTGAAATATAGATAGATAGATAGATAGATAGATAGATAGATAGATAGATAGATATGAACAGACTGAAAGATAGATAGATAGATAGATAGATAGATAGATAGATAGATAGATAGATATGAACGGACTGAAAGATAGATAGATAGATAGATAGATAGATAGATAGATAGATAGATAGATAGATAGATAGATATGAACGGACTGAAATATAGATAGATAGATAGATAGATAGATAGATAGATAGATAGATAGAGATAGATATGAACTAATTGAGATAGATAGATAGATAGATAGATAGATAGATAGATAGATATGAACTACCTGAGATAGATAGATAGATAGATAGATAGATAGATAGATAGATAGATTAATTAATTTCATGAAAATTCTTTCATGTAAGTAGTTTGCTTGGTTCCTTGATATTTTTTGCGACATTTCAGCCTCTATGGCTCGTTTAATGCCGAAATCCAAAACAATTGAACGCAATTTTAGTCCTTCAACTACAGATAATATCCATTATTGGTTATTTTTCATGTAAAAATATATTGCTAGTATTTTTACTATAAAAATGTATTTTTGTGTTTCCTATTAGTTCCCTATAAGGCCATAGCTGAGACCCTTAACAGGTGCTTTCACCCTGGGTCAGGGTGAACCTGGGAGCAACAGCAGTTGCGAGGTGGTTCCACGCTCCTCAGAAACCCAAAGTTGAGAGTGAAGTCAACACCAAATGGCAACAGTCTGTTTCAGGCTTAAAGGCAATCGTTTTGTGCGTTGTGTTTTGTCTCGGCTATTTCAAATAAGTAAAATGAAATAATCCAAATCAATAAATAAGTAAACAAATTGAATAGTACTGATCAAATTAACAAACTAAGAATGCACTGATAAACACAAGTAGAAGTAATAATAACAATCAACAACAAATAATAAATTAATCATGAAAAAATAATGAGTAAAAAATAAGAGTAATAAAGTTTTCAAACAATACTATAAAATAGCCACAAAATTGAATCGGATTCACACCGGCCAGGTCTTCTCACCGGCCAGGTCTTCTCACCGGCCAGGTCTTCTCAGCGGCTAGGTCTTCTCACCGGCCAGGTCTTCTCAGCTGGATTTCCCTTTTCGAGCCTGTTTCATTTGTTCAGCGTACGTAAAGCTTAGCATTGACCGTTTTGCTGTTTTGAAGCATTTCATCTCCGTACACAACGCAAATATCGCGGGGAGATTTGGTATATTTAGACATTGATTAGAAACAAAGAGAAGGTGATGGTGAACTTGTTTTTCTTCTTTACATTCCATCTCAAAGAGGGTCCAATCTGAAATAAAATTTCAATAACTTTAGACAATAGTTTAACAGGATGACCAGAATTATTAAGCAAAAAAATGCCACGTAAGATCATTTGCCGAACCTCAGATAAAACGAACGAATATGTGTAACAACCTGATACATCCATGTATAGACCAGTTATAAAAAAATTAACACAGAAGATAAACAAATTGAATAGGGAATAAGCTGCGCTGATGGTATTTTTGTACAAGACAGTAAAATGCTAGAGAACCGAAATGTTGTCTTGAAAACTAAACTATATTCTTAAATAGCCTCGTCAGATAGAGACACTTCTATGGATTTCATGCATGGCGTCTAAAGTCGTTCAGATATATCTAAAGTATCAGTTATATACAATCGTTTTTCAGATCAATGTTTAAAAATGACTTAAAAAAGAAAGGATTGTCTAGTACTAAAAAGGTCGTATAGATTATTTACAGAATGAGATATCTCCAAATAATAAACCCATGTCACTTGAAGGCTTCCAACATCAATAACAAAATAAGTGACACATGTAACTAGAAAGGGAAATAATGATTAAATTAAAGATGTTGACTTTAAACAAAAGCTTAAGAATATTTAAAAAAACAAAAAAAAAAAAAGGTCACAGGGAACTTGAGGAGTCTAATTCCCCGAAAAACTGTTTAAGAAAAAGATTTTATAAATTTCAACCGACAACAACGATAAAGTTTCGGTCAATCAATGCCAATTTGTCTCCTGTATTTTGACAATTACCATTTCATTTATGATTATTAAAAAAAAACAACAAATTCCTAGCTGAATTTAGTATTTATTTTAGCACCGAACAATATTTGTCTATGGTGAGTAATATCACAAGTGCTCTGTTAGTAACATTGATATTAGAACATAGTCTTGTCTAATCGTTGTCACTTTCGTAATGCTCAATGTAGTAGAGACTTTGTAATCGCAGATACAACTATAGTACGCCGTTGAACAATACACATTCGAATAACATCGCACTAGTAGTACTTGCTCGATAATACTCGCTCGGAAAGTAACCCTTATAGTGATCCGAATAGAGAAATAGTATAGTGAATAAAGTAGAGAATAGCGATCCTTATAGTGATAGACTAGAAATAGCGATCAATTAGACACACGCTACCTCCCATATATGCCTTTCCTATATGGTCACGTGGTTTACTTCATTCAATAATGGGATCGGCTGTGTTTGCTCACTGGCGATCTATGTTCAATCTCAAGTGTCGGCAGTGACAATTTATTCCTATATAACACTAATATAAACGCACAAAACACGTGAAGCAAAAATACTAGCGCTTTTTATATATGCTAAATTTCACCTAACATAATGCACGAGAGCCAATCAATGTAGAGGAGTAGAGTCAAAATAATACCAATGAATGAGATATTTGAAATGAATGGAAGGAAAAATATCTAAACTAGCAGCTGTATACAACCGTTTTCTGAGATCAATGTTTAAAAATGGCTTTAAAAAATGGATCGTCTTAAAGAGAATCCTTCATAATGCAACCACCGCTTCTACTCCAACTGTTTCTTTCCTTGCCCTTCCCGACAGTGAACTTCTTTTTCTGAATTCTATTTTAACCTTCAATCTTTTCTTTCTTTCTTTCTTTCTTTCTTTCTTTCAAAATGGCTTTTTACTTCTTTCTGTCTTTACTCCTATGATCATTCATTCTTTCTTTCTTTCTTTCTTTCTTTCTTTCTTTCTTTCTTAATGACTTAATTCATTCTACCTTTACTCCTTTGTACATTCTTTCTTTTTCTATTTTCTATTTTACCCGCTCGGTAATTTCTTAACCATTTGAGCCCTGACTACCGTATTACCGGTGATAGAGAAAAATAACTTAATTCCCAGCTACCGGTTGAACGATGGATAAACACTTATAACTATTTTTATATCTACCGTGAAATATTATATACTAATTTTTTGCGAAATTTGACTCATAAACTCAGGCAGAATGGTTAAAATTGTTCAGGAACACAGGGCTCAAAGGGTTAATAAAGAAAAGGAATGTGTGGAGAGTCATGACCGACGACTTTCAGATGGGATATGACATTTAAAGAATAAAAATATTAACAGTTCATGAGGGTGCTATTTTTAGGCGTCCTGGGGTTAAGTTTGCAAAAAAAAAACAAAAAAAAAAACAAACAAAGAACACGTTTTATAATTAAAGGCCAGTAAGTGTGTTCAAGTAAATCGGATTGAAAAGGATCATTTTTGAAAACTGAGAAAGAAAATCAGATTATTGGATATGCGGTGATTTAATCAACAAATATTATCTGGTTCTGTATAAATGTTATGTAAAAGACAATTTCATAATAAAATTTATAAACCTAATTAGGACGTTGCATACATGATGAAAAACGATTCAATAAATACTTTTGATATAGATGAGATCTGTATAAGATGTATTCGGCCATTTTGAATATTTCTAGAAACGATTACACAGCGTTGATCAAAATTGGCAAGAGGGAAACAAGGAAACAAACATAAGGCATTAGATACGTTGAATAAAATGAACGAAAGAATATAAAGAAAAGAAAGAAAGGGCATTTAAAAACAAACTGAAAAAGAAAGAAAAAAGAAAGCAAAAGGAACGAATAAAGGAAATACAGAAAGAAAGCAAAAAATGGAGGGAAGAAAGACAGGAAGAAGATTTAGAATACAAAGCGTAAAGAAAGAGAAAAGGGAAGAAAGTAATAAATATATTTAGAAAACAAACTGGAAAAGAAAGAAAGAAAGAAAGAAAGAAAGAAAGAAAGAAAGAAAGAAAGAAAGAAAGACAAAAAGAAAGAAAGAAATAATCAATGATTGACTAATTGAAATACAGAAAACAAGCCGAGAAAGGAAAAAGAAAGAAAGAAAGAAGAAAGGAAAGAAAGACATGAAGAAGCTTTAGAATACAGATCGTAAAAAAGAGAAAAAGACACAAACTAATAAATATCTTAAGAAAACAAACTGAGAAAGAAAGAAAGAAAGAAAGAAAGAAAGAAAGAAAGAAAGATAGAAATGATGAATGAAATACAGAAAATAAGGTGAGAAAGAAAGTCAAATAAAAAGGAAAGAAAAGAAGGAAAAGAAAGAAAAGTCTGTAAAAAACAGACCGAATAAGAAAGAATGAAAGAAAAAATGATTGGAAGAAGCTTTACAAAATAAAGCGCCTAGAAAGAGAGAAAAAGACAGAAAAAATAAATAAACTAATAAAGAACGAAAAACAAATCGAATTTGCAAACGATAGATAGATAGATAGATAGATAGATAGATGGGGAGCAGACTGAGATAGATAGATAGATAGATAGATAGATAGATAGATAGATAGATAGATAGATAGATGAATGAGGAACAGACTGAGATAGATAGATAGATAGATAGATAGATAGATAGATAGATAGATAGATAGATAGATAGATAGATGAATGGGGAACAGACTGAGATAGATAGATAGATAGATAGATAGATAGATGATAGATAGATAGATAGATAGATAGATAGATAGATAGATAGATGGGAAACAAACTGAGATAGATAGATAGATAGATGGATGGATAGATAGATAGATAGATAGATAGATAGATGGGGAACAAACTGAGATAGATAGATAGATGGATAGATAGATAGATAGATAGATAGATAGATGGATAGATGGGGAACAGACTGAGATAGATAGATAGATAGATAGATGGATAGATAGATAGATGGATAGATAGATGGAAACAGACTGGGATAGATAGATAGATAGATAGATAGATAGATAGATAGATAGATAGATAGATAGACAGACAGACAGACAGACAGATTAAAATTTAAAATAAATCAAAACGTTTCGTCTCACTGCCAAGTACGCAAAGTCTCTCATAAAATTCATCATTTTTTTAATATTGTCATATCAAGTTTTAAATTCTCCGTTCCCGTTGCATTCTACAGCGACAAGAGAGACAAAGAATATCTCTAGAGATTTTTTGCTAAGCGTAAACGGCATTGGCTATCTTTGTTATATCTAAAGCTTGATATTTGAACCTTTCAAAATTATTTGGTCCAGCGGAGTCATCAAGCATGGACTCTGACCAAAATCGATACCCTTTGATTACTGTGGTTGACAAAGTTAATCGGTCAGACTTATAAACTCCCGACATTTGAAGAACACGCAGGCCTTCATTTCCAAACGAACACAGGTTATTATTATTTTTTTTTTTTTTTTTTTTTTTTTTATTTATTTAATTTTTTTTTTTTTGTGGGTGGGAGGATAAACTTGGGGTACGCGCTTTTCTGGGCGTGGATGTGCGGGTGGTGCAATGAATAAGCGACTAGGAATGAAAAATAGTAGAACTGAGTTCGAATTTCAGTCAGTTTCTTACTTACTTTGGAAAGGCACCAAGCTATCCATTCTTCCCTTTCGAATGTAGTTTTTTTTTTTTTTCAGTGGATACCCCTGTTTGAAATAGATGCCCCTTTTTTTGTTTAAACACTGTGTATTATGTCTACCGTCCTTTGCAGCCGAGAAAGCATGATAATAAAACTTGCTCTCCGGTACAGTTCGGGCCGCACTCTACTTCGTATCAGAAACTACAGTAGGATCCGACGCGATTTAGGCCGGTTTGAAGCAATAAAAAGAATGGATTAAAATTACATCCATTAATTCTTTAGGAATACGAAATCGAGCAGATATGGTCTTTCGAAATAATCAGAAGGAAGGGATGTGCATTCCTTAAAAGGGTTCTATTATAGTATGATATATATAGTGGCATTTGCGACCTACAGTAAATATCGATGCACTCATTATTGCTTGAAAAGGCTCAAGGAAAAAGGTGACATGTTTACTGTTTTATAAAATCAAATCAAATCAGTTAGCAAACATTAAAATCACTGAGGATTTTTTTTTATTTTTGTACAAAAATTGTTAATGATTTTTAATACATAACCAGTTCACTGTTCACTGCCTTTTGTGCCACAAAAATGATGGTGTTCATGTGTGACTGCGTCAATGAAAATAAATCAACCAAATTCAGTACATGTGCTTTGTTTTACAGTATTACTTGTTCTTCTGTTATTGTTCTCATTACTTTTTGATAGGGGTAGTGACAAGATATTCGGACCACCCTCTTCCTTCAAGACGTTGGTGAGCATGGTTCTCCACAACTTCTTGTCCTTTGGAGTTATTATTAAAGTTTTTATTTTTTTATTTTTCAACAATTATCAATCTTTCTCTTCTATGTGATTCCTCCATTTTTTCTACAGCGTTGTCCGAAGGTCTTGTCACCCCTACATAATATAATTTTCCATTTCAACGCCCTTTGTGGGGTATTATCAAGGAGAGATTCACATGAACAATACCAGAATACCCATCAGTTTAAGGACACCATTTGAAGAGCATTTGCAGCAATCAACAAAGCCCAGCTTCGTAAAATATCACAAAGGACATGGCGCCGCATCATTTTGTGCCACGAAAATTATGGCGTCCTACAGACCTTCACGATGTGTGACAGCGTCAATGAAAATGAATAAACTGAATTCAGTACATGTGCTTTATATTGTTGTATTACTTCTATTGTTCTCATTATTTTTGGTAAGGAGTGACAAGACTTTTGGACCAACCTGTATGTGCCATAACCCTTCAGGAAGTTGGCGAGTATGGCTCTCCACAACTTCCTCTCCTTTGGAGCTCTTAGTAAAGTTTTTTTTCTTTTATCAGTTTTTCACTTCATCTATGTGCTGTGTTTCTTTAGGATATTGTCGTTCATGGCTCTCCACAACTCCCTGTCCTTTGGAGCTCTCAGTAAAGTTTTTCATTCTATAACATTTTATCAGTCTTTCACTTCTTCTACAGTCTTGGTCCGAATAGTTTTTTTTTTTTACATGATATAATTTTTTTTTTATTTCAGATGTGTGACAGAGTAAATAAACTGAATCCAGTACATGTGCTTTGTATTACTGTATTAGTTGTTCTATTGTTCTCATTACGTTTTTGGTAGGGGGGACAAAACTTTCGGACCACGCTGTACATTTATTTTGCTGTATTTTGTCACGTCGAACCCCTTTTTGTCCTCACGCTGTGCCATATTTTAACGCAAATATTGTTTTCGATAAACAAACTTCATTACTGTAAACTTTAAATATAATCCCTGTCAGCTAATGGCCTACAACCTTCTTTTTTCAATTTAGAACCCTCGTTTCTCAGTGATATTTCTTCTTTCCCTCACCTTCCACTCTATGTTTTTCTTATTCAGAATACACTAGTCTTAAGTGTGTATTTATTTTCCTAGTTTCACTTTTTTTTCCTTTCAATAAACCTGTTGATGAATATAACTTTGTCTTGGTTAGCGTAGGGAGTGTCTGAGGCGTGTGAGACGGAAACGTAAAAAAAATTAACACTATTTAAAATGTGAATATCTGAGTAACTACAGGCTAACGAAATTAAATAAGCTTCATGATGAATAATAAAAGATTTATTTATCGAAATTCAAACAAGATATTCAAAGGGATGTAGATTTTTATCACCGATTTCACAAAGATTCACAAATTTTCAATATGCGCACCATATGTGGCACAAGACACGTCAAGTTGGTAGTCCAGCTCCTGTCAAACACGTTGTAGCTTGTATTGCGTAACATCCTCCAGCACCTCGGTGATTCTCTGATTAAGTTCTTCTAGGCTTATAAGTAGTAGGGGATGTAGACCTGTCCTTTCATATAGCCCCATAGAAAAAAAATCACAAGGTGTCAAGTGAGGTGGCCATCTCAACAGCACATTGTCATCATCAATCAAACGCCCGATCCATCTTCCTGGTAGATTCCCATTGTAATAAATCCGCTCAGTCACCTTTTTTTTCTTTTTTTTTTTTTTTTTTGATAAAATTTGATATCATTTGAGCGAAAATTGGCTTTGTTATTGAATAGGGACCCTATATATTGATTCTTTTCTACCATTTCTTCTTAACAATTTCCTCCTTTTTTTATTTCACAACGTTTCAACCATTCTACTGACCTTCTACTTTCTTTAGGGATTTACTGCATATGAAACAGCGTCAGGGTGTTAAAATCAGATCCTATAAATGTTGCTAGAGGAGTGTCTATAAAACAAGTATGGGAAAAGACTAGGCTTGAATTTGATACCAATTTCCACGCCTATAACGGTTACCCAACTGCATATTCATAAGACATTACTGTTTTATTCAAAAGGAACAAAGGCAGCAATCTTTCAAGCAAGTAAGCTACTCAAGGTCTTTTATTATCTTAGCCGTTGTCAGCCAGCAAACGTTCCACCCTGACTATCCTACATAAACTCGCTTCTCTCTTTATTGTGTGGACTAATCTACTCTCTACTCGAGGTGACAGCTGCTGCCAGTTGATAGCCAAGTATTGACCAGCCATTTGTATATCCAGTTCTTTTTATTCTGTCTTTTCGTCCTTGACGACATGGCCGAGGTAATGTTGTTTGTCAACTTTATTAATGGAAGCTATTCTCTTTTGCATATTCTATCACGATGGACCAGCCAATAGTAAAGTCTGATGCCTTTCTGATATGTTTTTGACTTTCGCGTTTCTAATATTCTTCTCATTTGCGTGTTTCCGATATTTTTTTTTCATTTTCGCATTTCTGATGTGTTTCTCCTTTCCGCCTTTGTGATATTCATCTCTTTTTTGCGTTTCTGATGTCTGTCTTAGTTTCGGCTTTCTTATATTTTTCTCATTTTCGCGTTTTCGGTGTGTTTCTCATTTTCGCGTTTTCGGTGTGTTTCTCATTTTCGCGTTAATGATATTTTTTTTTCATTTTCGAGTTTCTGATATTTTTCTGTTTTCCATTTCAGATATTTTTTTTTATTTTCGCATTTCCAATGTCTTTCTCCATTTCGCGTTTCAAATATTGTTATTTATTTTCGCATTACAGATGTTTCTCATTTTCGCGTTTCTGATATCTTTTCATTTTCGCATTTTTTTTTTTTTTTTTCGCATTTCCCATGTCTTTCTCCATTTCGCGTTTCGAATATTTTTTTTTTATTTTCGCATTGCGGATGTGTTTCTCATTTTCGCGTTTCTGATATTTTTTCGTTTTCGTGTTTCTGATATTTTTTTCATTTTCGCATTTTCGCTTTTTTTTTTTTATTTTCGCATTTCCCATGTCTTTCTCCATTTCGCGTTTCGAATTTTTTTTTTATTTTCGCATTTCGGATGCGTTTCTCATTTTCACGTTTCTGATATCTTTTCATTTTCGCATTTTTTTTTAATTTTTTATTTTCGCATTTCCCATGTCTTTTTCCATTTCGCGTTTCGAATATTTTTTTTTATTTTCGCATTTCGGATGCGTTTCTCATTTTCACGTTTCTGATATCTTTTCATTTTCGCATTTTTTTTTTTTTATTTTCGCATTTCCCATGTCTTTCTCCATTTCGCGTTTCGAATATTTTTTTTATTTTCGCATTTCGGATGCGTTTTCATTTTCACGTTTTGATATCTTTTCATTTTCGCATTTTTTTTTTTTTTTATTTTCGCATTTCCCATTTCTTTCTCCATTTTTTTGAATATTTTTTATTTTCGCATTTCGATGTGTTTTCATTTTCACGTTTCTGATATCTTTTCATTTTCGCTTTTTTTTTTTTTTTATTTTCGCATTTCCATGTCTTTCTCCATTTCACGTTTCGAAATATTTTTTTTTTATTTTCGCATTTCGGATGCGTTTTCATTTTCACGTTTCTGATATCTTTTTCATTTTCTTTTTTTTTTTTTTCGCATTTCCCATGTCTTTTTTTTTTTCGAATTTTTTTTATTTTCGCATTTCGGATGCGTTTCTCATTTTCATTTTCTGATATTTTCATTTTCGAATTTTTTTTTTATTTTTTCGCATTTCGGATTTGCGTTTCGAATATTTTTTTTTCACTTTTCTTTATCTTTTCATTTTCTGATATCTTTCATTTTTTTTTTTTATTTTTTATTTTCGCATTTCCCATGTCTTTCTCCATTTCGTGTTTCGAATATTTTTTTTATTTTCACATTTCGGATGTGTTTCTCATTTTCGCGTTTCTGATATTTTTTCGTTTTCGCGTTTCTGATATTTTTTTAATTTTCGCATTTCATTTCTGATGTTTTTTTTTTATTATTTTCGCCTTTCTGATGCGGTGCTTTTTTTTTCACGTTTCTGA